GGAAATGGCTTATTCATATTGCCCAATTATGCTTTAATTAATGAAAACTTAAATGAAACAGGACGGAAAGCTGAGGAAAATGTTGATAAATTAAGGCAAATGCAAGGAACACACAAATAAAAAACAATAATGCTAGAAACTTGTTGAGCAACACCAATTGTTGCATGTTCAATATACACAAGAACTGTAATGTCTAATAACTCCCATGATTATTATTATTTATAATGATCGCACCAGTGCCATTGTTCAACATAATTTTAATTTAAAACATTACAATTTAAGTATATAGCTTAGTTAGGGGTTTCGTGATTTATGTGGGTGAAATCAAGCATCCTTAGGTTTAAAAACAAAATTGATCTGCATGCAACAGATCTCAATGTTGCCACCGAATTGGGTAGCTCTTACATTTATAGTCTCTGACATCTGTTGGATCACATGGATAGAACAGAGGGACAAAAGGACAGATGACTATTGAAAAATCGACTGAACTGAGGATACTGATTAAGAACACCTTATAAAGTCAGAGATGCTTCTGCCTGTAACAAATATTCGTGGTTGGTACTAAACTATAATACACTAATATAATATACCCAACAGGCACCGGGTATAATACCAGTATTAACTTAGTACAGACATTTATAAGGCGTGACATAACGCTTTTATTTGGAAGATAGAAAGTTGTGGGTCTAGCAGTCCACGAGGGAGGGTTCCCTTGGAATCAACACCTAAATCCAGAAACTGTCGGCTTTGGCTTTTTTATACCCATGATTCCCGTTGATTAATAATAGCAATATTGTTGCCATAAAACAGATACAGATAATACATTTTCTAACAGATTGTAAAGCAACATCTAAGCTTAATAAATTATCTCGTTCAATGTTTTTATGGATCATTACTAGTCAAGGAGCTCCAATGAAATTAACATGCCCATTATTTTGTGAGCAGTTCTCTTGATCTCACCCTACTACTAGGGGGTCTCCGTGGATGTGGGGCCAGGTGGGCGGGTGAGTTCCATTAGAGACATTAAAATAATTTCAAAAGACATAAATTTTGAATTATGGCCACACAACGTGGACACGGCCGTGTTGCCTTGCACTCCACGTACTATATGTGGTCCGTTCACGACGTTGGCAAGAGTATTTTAAATCAATTTCTCTGGGGGAGTGCGCTGTGCTGTGCTGTGCTGTGCTATGGTGTACTCTGCGGTGCCAAGTGTTTTCACTATAATTACAGACAATTTCAGACATTCACCGTCGTGCCGGCGGAGTCCCCACCGCCTCTGTCCCTGCCCCAGTTGCCTTTTTGCTCGCTGAGATGGCCATTTAAATTGATTTATGAGCGCCTGTTCGGGCGCATTTGTTCGGGGCGGGGCGTAAGGGGGCCGCCATAAGGGGGACCCCATAACTCAAGATCGCCTCCTCGCCCAGTTGCTGCTAATTAAATCTGCATAAGTGGGCGCACTCATTTGACGTGGTGGGCGTGGTCGCAGGGGACAGCTGCCGCTTGTTGCTGCTTTCGGTGATAGTCCATCGGCTACCTGATGCCAGTCGACGTCCAAACCCTTGTCAACCCGAAGACGAAGAAGTGCTCGAGACGTGGTCCAATTTCTGCCAACCCCTAACAAGGCCAAAAGGGTCAAGGGGTCAGCGATTCGTTAGTCCCAGGAAACAATGCCGTCTGTAATTGATTCAGAATCCCGAAGATCCAGCGAATAGGCCCACAAGAATTCCACGCATTTGTCAGCGTTCTTCGTTGACTCTTAATTGCCTGGGAAATTTGTAATTCAATCAGAATGGTATTGTGCGTCCAGGACCTATCCTAATTGCAAACGATTCAGAACCTCAGAGTCCTAACTTGTAGATGCACAACGGTAATTGGGTTCGAACAAAAGGACTAAACAGTAATGGGAAGGAAAGGCGAACTTTTGACAGAAATATTAGCATTAAATGAGCAACTTTTTTAAACGAAAGTGTCGATAGGCGGAACCGCGCTGTGCCTGAAGGACAAAGGAGGAGATGGCAAGGAATAACATCGACGAACCGACCGAGCGACCGACCGGAGGAACAGGCAGAGGAAGTGCCATAAAAATGCAATTTTAGATTTCATCAACTGATAAGAAAAGTTTTTAAATTAGCCGCCAAATGGGAATGCGAATGCGAATGCGAAGTTCGAAACTGTAAACTGAGCAACAGAACAACAAAAACATTTGATTAGAAAAACGGCAACAAGGACAGCAATCGCGGGAGGAAGTCGGCCTACAAATTGGCCTCGTCACGCCAAGAAATCGTTAGAAAGTTTCTCCCAGTACAGTTGCAATTGCAATTTTTTTGCATTTGGGCCCCGCGACCACCCATTCCCTTTCCTTGGGTGTCCTGTCCCGTCCTGGAAACTCCTGCCTGCGCTGCGGAAACTCTCAGAGAAAAACGCACTCGCCAGAAAAGAGAGCAAAAGTATCAGTTTCAGTTTATCAAAATCCTGCCATCGCAAGTGGCACAGATTAGGAGCACAATCAAAGGGAAAATGGAAATGCAACAGGGAAAGAGAATGAAAATAGAAAATGGAAATACAATGGACTGCATTCTTTCGATATTTGGTGGAATCTCAAAGTCCAGATCTACCGTCTATACGGTAGAGAGACAGCGCTCAAGTAATTAACGCCCCGATCAAGGAGCTGCATCCGAAGTCTTCCTCAGTAGTACAAGAGCTAGCCCGGTTCGCATCTCAATCTGGAAACAGTAGCTCGGCGACGGCGCCTCGAGGATTTGCACAAATGTTAATGATGATCTCCTGATCTTCAAGGGGAAGCCCCTGTCTTGGGACTGTGTTTCCGAGGGGGTAGCTACTTTTGCTTTTCCCTCATCGCTCTGGAAAAATAATCCGGTGTTAAGATCGGGGGCGGTTTTTTGTTTGTTTGGTTTTCGCTCCGATTAATCGCTGATGCGATTTTAATTAGGCCGATTCCTATACCTTTGCATTTATTTTGCTGCTCTGTTTCGAAGATTTTCAAGGTCTAGTCGTTAGAACTAAAATTATCTTAAAACTTAGAGGTTACATCCACTTGTTACTTATTGTACCCTTGCAGGGTACTTGAATTTCAGTCAGAAGTTTGCAATGCAGTGACTAAATAAATATCAAATTTAAGAAGTACCCATTTTATATTATTCTAGAACTTTGTGTAAAAGTTGAAAATCGGACTGCCATATCATATAGCTGCCATAACAACGATCGTGAAATTAATACAACTAAAAATGATAACTTTTCAGCTATCAACAGATTTTCATCAAATTATATTTATATCCCTTTTTTATTATTCTAGAATTTTTATTTTAATTTTTTGAAAATTGGACGACTACTTAATTAATTTGTTTGTTAACATACATATATAAAATTGATTTTGTATTAATTCCTATAGATCAAAATTCTATCTGCAAGGGTATATAAACTTCGGCGTGCCGAAGTTAGCTTCCTTTCTTGTTATTTTTGTATAATTCAAGAAAGGGATTAGTTTGTAAGCATTGACATTCGCATATATTTTTTGTTTTTATTCTGATATCTTGTGATTGTAACATAAAAGGCCAAAAATCTCCTGGGATTGTCTCCTTAACTCACGAGTGCAAAATGTCAGGCCCACATATAAAACATAAGAAATTATGAGATAAAAAACACTTAAAACAATTTTTAAAATAATCAAGAAAACCTTGCCCCCAGACGTTTTACAAAGCAGGTAAACGAAATGTTCAGAACTTGTTTCACTAACAAATACAATATGTATTACAATATGTTATCGAAATGGAAGGAACTTCAGGTAAATGCCCATTTTTCTAATTTGAGTTCAATAGTTATTAGAACGAATGATCGGAGACTAACTGCTATTTATAAGTAAAGCGGTGATAGCATTAGCCTGATATAATAAAAGCCTAAATAATAAAAGCGATGAATACTTGTTTGTAATTTGCATGGTCCCATTTTGACTTACATATATACTAGCGAAAATACATATGGGGATAATTATTATTGTTATTATTATTTATTTATTTTTTTTTTGTGTATAAATGTCATAATTTTCATATCACAATGGTCCAATAGCATTTATGCCTGAAAACTGAAAATATTAAATTTTTTAATTTTTAGCTACTTTTATAAGCATTTCTTATTTTGCAAGGAAAACATATAACATATAACTTTTTTATACCAAATCTGTTGATTGCCATCTAAAAAAAAGAGAACATACAAAACAAAAGTTATTAATTTACAAATAAGTGACAAAGAAAAACAAAGCAGTGTGTTCGCTATCGTTCTAGTCCGTTCCGTCCCATTTTCTACCTGAAATGGAAAGAAAGAAACCTGCAAGAAATATTATGACAATAACATTAATATTAAAAGACTAGTTTGCATAGTAAAAGTTTAAAAATGCGCCAAAAAGACTGAAGTAAAACGAAGTGTACCCGCCACATATTCTAATCATAACCTTACAAAATCGTATAAACAAAGCTAAGGTATTTTTCTACCGGGATACTGGTCACACTTAAATCTATTGTCACTTCAACTATTAACTTCTCCATATAACAGTTTTCATTTTCCTAATTTCTTTACCTATTATAAAAGTACACCACTATCGATACTTCGATATATTGATATAGTTTTTCCCCATCTGAAAAAACATCGATCTTTGCTTGCATCGATGTTTGTCAGTACTTTCGAAAAAACCATTTAAAATATATATTTTGACTGTGAATTATTACTGGACTCCAATGCAACTGCTGGCTGATCAGCATTCCAGCTCAACAAGAATCCACATTTTTTTAAACAGAACGGGAATCGAGAGCAGAAAGAGCTACTGTATATTATAGTATACAGTATATTATTAAGTTTACCAAATCTGCACCTTTTTGCACGATATTCTCTAGAAATGTGATAATAGTCGATGTTTGCCAGAGGAACATCGATGTTTTTGGAAACATCGATTGTATCGAATAAACATTGCTGCTTTTCCCATCACTAGCAAGTGTAAATAATGTAAGGCAAATGCAATATTGTAAAAGCAACAAGCTGCGGGCCACAAAATCCCAAGTGTACTCTATTTAAGCTCGGTTTGTGCGGCGGAAAAGCGATGGACATAGCCCAGTTTGGGACCGGAGGAAAACGCTGCACACGCACACACACTGCGGGGCGCACACTTGTGCTGCTGCTGCACACACATATATACGGATATTTTTCGTCTACGTTTCAATTCGATTTTCGGAAATTTCACCTTCGCGTTGCTGTTTTTCGGCTATTTCAAACTTGTTTTCAGCTGTGTCTTTCCCGAACGGCGCCCTCGCCCCCACCCTCTGCTCTGCTGCCCAGCTCTGTTGGCAGCCGCTCACTTTTTAATTTGCTTACGTATTACGTGTGGCGGTGTGCGTGTGCGGTCGCGTTCGTATTTTATGAAAATTAGTGCCAATTTGCAGTAAGACGGAATGTAAAGGCAGAAGCTGGCATAATTTTCCGCACATTCAACTTCTGATTTCCCGTTTTTCCCTCGGATCAGCTGTAACTTGCATAAAGAAATCGCCCCTCTTTCTGCCGTCTTGCTCGCTCCTGGGCACGTGTGCGCCTGTATGCGTGTGAAATGCTTTCTGCTCGCTAAAAATAACGCCCGTGGATCGGTAGATATGCGTGAATAATGGCGAAAAACGCACTTAAAGCGTAGTTCTCGAATGTGTGTCAAAGAGCAGCAGGTGCAAGTGCAGTGTTATAAAGCGCAGCATTTCTGCCACCGTGTGTGTGTTCGTGTGTTTGTGTGTGTGTGTCGCAAACATATGGCAAAAAGTCGGGCCTGATAGATAAATGAATATTTGTTGCAGAAAACCGTGATACCCCTCAATGGCAGAATGACATAGTGAGTGGTAAAAGAACTACGAAAAAAACCAAGGCGAAAAACCACGTCCAATGACAAATGTGACAACGGAAACACATCAGCCGCCCTGAGGAAGAAGAGGAACGTCTCCAAAGGTCAACCCAGCACCCTGCACCCGGCCCCGCCCCCTCTTCAGTTTGTTATTATTTTTTTTTCGTTAGTTTCCCTTCGTTCGCGAACGTGTTTCCTTTGGGCGTGCAATACTTTTTACCAAAAGTCTTGCCACGGTCCAAAATCGCGAAGCACGTCGAACGAGTACGGCCGTAAAAATTCCCAAGTCCGTGGGCACCAAGCTGCAGCGTCTCAAGGCCAAGGCGGCTGCGAGTCAACACTACGGCAGCAGCAGTTATCGCAAGTCCGGGGGCAGCAACAGGAGCAGCGAGGGCGGTGAGAAGAGTTTCGGGACACAAGGCGGGTACGATTATCAACGCGGTGGCGCTGCCGAGGAGCGTAACTTTGCTGCGACGACGGCGCTGGCGGACGTGGCCGAGAAGTCATATCAATATAGCAGCAGCATCACCAGCAGCGGCAACCATAACAACAACAATTATCAAAAGTCAAACCACACCAGTGCCAATTACAACCACAACAACAACAACTATAACCACCCAAAAAGCGCCACCAACCTGCCTTATCAGCCTCATCAGCCTCAGAGCAACCACAACATCATCAACAATAACAACAACAACAACAGTACGATGAAGATGACCAAACAGAAGAATTCGCTGGCGGAGCGCCTCAACATCGGCGACGAGGTCCGTGAACTAAAGCTGGGCTCCACCTTCAGGAACAACTCAACATCCTTCCATACCATCAAATGTAAGTGTCACCTGGCAGGGGGACCTCACTCAGATTTGACCCACAAATGTGTTCGTGTTGCAGATGACTTCAAGCCAGCGAGTGTGGATACCAGCCGCATGGCATCTGTGGACGTTGGATCCAACAATCAAGTTACTGTTATCGTGCCAAATTCTGGTGAGTGCAGCGGATTATCCGCTAGATATATTAATTTCCGGGTCGGAATACTTATGTTGAGAATTCAGCACAAAGATAACAGTACAGATTTCGCTAACTGGGGCTAAAAACCAAGAGATGGCTAATTAAAATTCCTAGAGCTTAAGTGCAAATGGTTGTTAAGTTAAAGCAGGTGATTTAAAAAAACAAAATTGTAAGTTCTCTGAGCAAATGACGAGTGAGAATATGAATATGTACCCTTAGATAAAGTGCCTGCCTACCGCTATATCCAACATTAACAGGGTTTTCAAAACTCACTTTCAAATCTTTTCCGGTAAAATAACTGCTGGTTTTGAGAAACTAAGAAGGGTATAAGGCACTGTCGTTGTTTTTAGTATACTGCGTTTTGTGACCTTGCACATTATACGACAATTTTGTTTTAAATAGCACTTTTTTTAGTTTTTCTAGTTCGATTAAATTAAAGGATTTACCTTTTTCGGTCATATAGCTATCACAGACTTCAAGAGGGAGGATAGAAGTTTACCCTTAATGGGTGAATTACAGATGAATGACTTGGTGATTTTTGTTAAAAAAGCTTGACCAAAAGGTTGAGGTGCTAAACCCATCCTCCTAAATAATATTATTTTGCATAAAAAATTGATTATCGTTGCAAGTTCATAAATTCTATTTTAGATTAAATTGGGTTTTTGTTTTCTCCCATTTACATTTGTTACCTACAGGTTGTTATTCAGTCTCCTGGAAATATTTTCTCCGGCAGACTATGTAAAAGTTGGCTATTGTGTAATCTCACTCCAACTTATATACAACAACATTTGATCTAGTTTCGCAAGCACGACGCTAATAATCTTTATCCAACCATGTTTTATTAGACAGTCGCACAAGCTAATGAAATAGGCAGGAAAAACGAGTAAATTATTGTCGTTTCTCGAACACGCAACCTAATATAGTATTCAAAACCAATCGATTATGTCTTTAAGTTGGGAAAATTAACTTCAAGAGGGCAAACTATTGTCAGTTGATTAGATATGTACATATTTTTTGGGAGTAGTCAATTTCATAAATTATATTTCCGCTTTGGTATAACTTATCCAAAGGGTATTACACTAACTTGCTACAATAGCAAGTGTAAATTGAATATGTTAAGTGGAATAGTGATCGATTTCTGTTCTCGATCAGCTCAATCACCTGTTTGATGACATAATTTGACTGCATTATAGGCTGGGAGTCAGTGGCAGTGAAGTCTCCTCTTAGATACAAATTAATGGATTGCCAGCCCTGTGTCTTATTTCGTTTAAACAAAGGCCGCAGACGCGTGGTGGGAAGTGGAGAGGGGACGCCAGCGATGGAATGAAACCAAATTACATCAAGTCAGGCAAAATGCAGCCAAGCGTTCAAGTTTTTTTCCTCGCTTTTTCATACTCGTATTATTTCGCTACGCTCTTTGTGGCCAGACTCGTCTGTGGGCTGTGGGCTGTCGGCTGTGGTTGCTGTTTGTTTGGACCTCATTGGGGCCGACTTGCCTTGTGTAACGCTCCGGTGATTGCGAGCGACGAGTCGCCAAAGAGTTTGGCGCTGGCGACGACAATAACAGTGGCATTTGGTCAAGTGTGGGTCTGGAAGTGGTGCGGTAACTCCCCAATCCGATCTCTCCCTATCTCAGTCCGTATCCGAATCAAACGGGTGCAGCCGAATGTGCACTGGACTAGTTTTCAGTTGAACATCGCAGTAACAGTCAACCTCCCGATTATCAGCAAAAATTAAGTACACTTTTATAACAATAATCGGATCGAATATGGACATTTGCGTCCAAATATTAAGCACTGCAATTAACCATTTCAGAGACAGTAACCACAAAATGAATTATGAATTTAAACCCCAAATTTGAAAAGATCTTAATTATTTGCTCCGATGACAAAAAATATAAAACAAGAAACTAAACTATGTCAATAAAGTGGAAGATTGCATTTCCTTACATCTTGCAATTGATCGAGAAACCTTACTGAAAGGTAAAAGCATTAAATAAAAACATTTAACTTTTTGCTAGTTATATTTTTGACTTTAGAAGAGTAGCTTTTTAATATATTAAACGGGCTTCGGTTTGTTTAACCTTTCGACTATCGAAAGTAAATTATTTTGAAGTTCCGATATCGTGCACTTGTTCCCCTTGCCAAGGATTTCGAATAACTTACTTTGCTGTCCGCAAATTGTCAGCAGCGACTCTATCAGGTTCGCCTCTTCTTTCGGTACTTGTTCATTAATTTTTTTATATTTGATGTAGATGTCTATGGCCGACTTGATTTCTTGTACGCTGTTTTTTTTCCCTAGATACTCGCTAATTGGTCGAAATACTTCGAATATAGTAGGGAGTAGCACGGGAGTTGTGGTATTGAAAAGAACCGCAGCTGTAAGATATGCAAAAGGTTGTAAGAAACACTAAGGTAAGCCGATACAAGCTTACCGAAAATTGCCGCAGACAGGAGTATATATGTTAGTTTCTTCATTGTTGAGGGAAATGATTCTTTCAAGGGTGGTGTCTGGCATAAATATGAAATGCCCATTTGGATCAGAAATCTAATTATTCCAATCGCCATGCATTTTAAGGTAATTATTCACAGTGTTACCTCGTGACATTTGTTTAACTGCTCCTTAGCTTTCTTTACCAAAAGGGGTATCCAAGGAAAAATAATTGAAAGTCTACAACTACTGTATTAAATATATAATTGTAGATAAAGGGGATATATTTACACTCGGAATATTTTTTTCAAATAGATAACGTGAAATTTGCTATACCCAAAACAATAAATATATAGATATATTAAGCATGAAGCAGAATATATAATATTTCTTAACTTTAGTTAGTTTCGTCTAGAATTGGCTCAACTGCATATATATTGAATTGATAGTTAAAAGAAAGTGGCTTTAGTTATTATTCCATACAATTATTATCTACATCGATGTATGATTTATGGTTTAGCATGGAAAATCCCAACGATTTGGGAGAACCTTAGCTCCAAGCGCATATGAATGTGTCTCAGTTTTGACTGCATTTTTAAGGAACATGTGCTTGTTGTGACTTTTGCTGAACTCTCGGCCAACCAGTTTTTCAGGAATTCTACAATTTTGGATGACTAATGCCAACTTGATTGTGCTTCCGTTGCAGAAAGTTCCGGTGTGCCTCATACAGTTTATAAGGGTAATCAGAGAGAGTATGCCAAGGAGTGCTTGATGATCTACGACAAGGAGACAGGTGCTATCACAATAGAGAAGCTGAATCACAACATACAAGTGAAGAAGACAAGGTGAGTGCGATACGGTTTAGATTCCGGACCAATGAATAATATATACCTTCTTTTCAGGAGCGAGGTTACAAATAAGCCAGTTCTTCTGCCAGTTCAGAATGCGAGCATGAATGCGGCCCAGGGCCAGGGTCTAAATCAGGCCCAGGCTCAGGGCACCAACGGTGCTGGAATGGCCCCGATTATGTCAGCTTCTGGGCATGGATCTGGGTCGGCTAGTAAATTGGAGAACAGTACCATGCGGATCACATCAAAGACAAAGGTTTCAACAGGCAGTCGCAGGAATAATATAAGTAAGTAATAGAATCTAATAATAAAGAATAATGTGTTACTAATGATAATATTACGATTAATTTAGTTGACTTCAAGCCGCGCAATTCGCCCATGCAGCAGAGCTCACCATCGCGTCCAGTGGCCATCCATCGCAGCCCACAATCCGCTCCAGCGTAGGTTTTATCCTCCAGCAACTTGTCGATGGAACTAAAACCACCGTTTCGTTTCAGTTGGGATGCAAATAATGCACAGCAGACATTGCCCAGCATCCCCATGATCACGGATGATGATGACTTTGGGTTGAGGGCCGCCCTCCATAACGGTGGACAGGCAAATACATCAGGCTCATCGACTGGGTCTGTGGGTGGTCAACCAGAGTACGGATCCATGACGTCCAAGCAGCGACAGGCCCCTCAGCATAGCCAAGCCAAGCGTCAGCAGATGCATCAGCGCTCCAGTCCGCCAATGGCCCAGCAGCAGCACCAGCAGCCGTCCAGCTACGGTCGCGGGTACAATAACAGCAACAACCAATACGCACAAAATCAGCAGCAGCAGCCACATCAACAGCAGCACATGCAGCAGCAACGCCATTCTCCACAGCAGCAGCTACAACACCATCAGCAGCAGCAGCGTGCTCCGGCCTTTGGCCATGGCAACAGCATGCCAATGGACTTCGACTCAGCCAGAGAGCATGATATGACCTCGCAATCAGTGGCGCAAGCGGCTGCTGCTCTGGAACAGGTAGGTTTCATGACTCATTCTAATCGGGGCTATGCTAAGCTGGGTATTTGGTTTTTGCAGCAAATTGGAGGCGCATTGAGTGCTTCCAGCTCGAGCTCTGAATCGGACTCTAGCGATAGTGACAGCGGCAGTGACTCCGATGACAGCACCGATGATGATCGCCCAATGGAAAGTCAGCAGCAACAGCAGCAAGGTATGCAACATCATCAGCCTCAGCAGCAGTCTCAGCAGCACCTAAACCAGCTGCCAAACCTAGGCCTAGGTTCCATATCACCATCCTACAGCAATAGTCATCAGCAGCAGCAGCAGCTGTCGCATCATCATAGGCAGCAAATGCAGCAACAACAACAACAACAGCAGCAGCAGAAGCAACAGTCCGGCATTTATGCATCCAACGGTGGTTTTCCAAACGACTTGCTGCAAAACGATCTGCAATTGTCCTCAAACTCGTCGGAAGATGAGGACGATTAGGCGGGCGTGTTTTTGATATAATTTAATAATTTCACAAATCTAAACGGTAACAACAATTATTGATATTCTGTCTATATGCGTGTAATTAAGTTGTAATTATTGAGGGGTGAATTTACTTGCTAGTGAAATTTTTATAAATAAATTCTTAGTTGTACGACACGATATACCCGAGCATACATTAATTAATTTTAAACCTTCCAAATGTGCAGGAGAACATTGAATATAAAAAAAATCAACCTAATTTCTGCCAATACATATTACAATGTAAACTAATATTAAATACAAATTCAAAGGTTATGTGAAACTTGTTGAAAGTCCTAAAGGAGATCGCACGCAAATACATACTTATAGATCAACATTAAATTAAATCAGAAGCAAACGAAGTAGACGATGCAACTACGGAAATTATTTAGTTTTTAAAGCCAATGCTGCAAATATTAATCATGATTTTTAAGATACAAAAAAACAAACATCATTTAATAAACACAGCGGATTTTTGCCATTAATTACGCATTTTACTCTAAGCCGGAAATCATTTAAATTATTCAGATACCAAAAGCGCGAAAATAGCTATGCAATTGTAATCTTATTTCGGTTGGCTTTATTTCGCTCATCTTTTGTATTCAATATTTTTGTTCTTTATTATGTTAACGATAAAATAAATACTAACTGATTGTTCGCCTTTGATAAATTTGTTAGCTAAGTATAGTCTCTTATCCATTTGAGTTACCTATTTGTGCGGTATGAAGACATTTAGGATTTACCCCATGTTTTATTTGAATTTATTTGTAGTTCTTTAATTAATTTTTAAATTTAGTTTATTATGATTTTGTTATGCGCTTGCAATAGTTAAAAGCAACGAGAAACTGAAATAAATGTGAAACGAATGAAAACGCTTGGTTTTATGCTTCCCATCCCAAAGAGTTGGTTACAGCAAAGGCTTTATAGTAACAAGATGAGCAATGCCACTGTAATTTTCAGAAGAATGGATTGCATAAAGCAATTCATGTATGGGTTTTGTGACTTGTTAATATAAGGTTACAGTTGCTGATCAGTAATTCACAACTCACAGAAGAACACAGCTCCTTCCATTTGTATGAGCGTGCACGAAGGTCCAGGCACACACTTACTAATATTAACACTATTTCATTTGCCAAGCCAACAATGAATTGTATTTATAAAGTACCATCCACGAGAAAAACGACCAATATCGAAGAGACAGTTAGATGCAAACGGAGATGACACCAATTATTTTTTGTACACTCTACATGAGAATATGTCTAGGATTAAATTGTTTTGCAGACCATGAGGATTTGTTTGTGGCATTCACTGGTTGGCGCACTATTATTGAGCATCAAATAAGAACACCATAACACCAATAATTACAAACAAATCAACAGTAACTAAACGAAAAGAACAAATTGATTCAGATAATCATAAGCACAATATACATATGCAAAGAATCTAGAAATAATTATATAACTAATTCTAAATGGAATCCGAAAATGCCTAAGATCACAATGAAATAAAGCGACTAACTTAGTCTAATTGGTAAGAAACAAAAATATATATATATATATATATTATATACAAACAAGCATGTACACGACTTTATATACAAACATATAAATATTACTTTCAGTTGAATTAGTTCTAATACCGACCATTAAACAGTCAACAAATAAAACTAAACAATTCATCAGCTGTTTTTTCACTTTTAAATGGATTATTTCTAACAAAGTTCCAGGAATAAGCTTTGCCCAAACTCGTTAAAGCGGATCTTGGATTCAGATTCAGTAAATAAACATTTTATAAACTATGGTATCGTAAATTGGAACTAGCCCTAAGACGGATGGTGTTTATTTTTCTAACTAGACGATTATGAATTGATGATTGTAAGTTATATTTTACGACGCTTGCAATAATGAACAGAGGGTCTATTATGTTTACTAAGGTGTCGTTTGACACGGATTCTGATCTAGAAGACAACCTAGACCGCTCAAATTTTTAAATTATTTTCTTTGGTTCTCATTTCCTTTGACTTGACCTTTAAATTTTACTGCCCGCCAAAGGTTTAATTTAATAATTGCTGGACTATATTTTTGTTATCGATATTGGCAATGTCATCGTGAATTTTTCTAAAACATTTGTCGAGAAATTAAAATTCAATTTATATCTTTGACTTGCATGTTTTAACTAGTTCCTAAAATATAAATGAATTCTTTAGCATCGCAAAATAGGGCCAATTTTAATTTCTCAAATATAGAAAACAGTGATAAGTGATTATATATTGTATTAAAAATAAAAAAACTAAGTTAAACTGGTAACACTGGTGTAGATTGTACGAGGGCTGTTGGATATTTACAGAACCATATCGTATTGATGATATTTGTTGTATAAGAAAAAATTAATAATAATTATATAAAATGTATACAAAAACTGGTACTTTTTTTCGCCATAATGGTAACTTAAACAGCAAGTTTTTCAAAACATTGACACTATCATTGATAATGACAAAAATTTAAAAAAAATATATATATCGCAACATCGATATTTGGACAAGCAAAATGTCACGATATAAATCATTTTGAGAAAAAATATCGATATATTTATATTTTGATATATTTTCAACAAACTTAGATCAACAGGTGTTGATTAATTGGATAAATACCTCAATATGGGCGACGTTACAGGACTCAGCAATGCCGAAGCCGACGAGCTGTGCAAAAAGCCCGAGGCGGCCACCAAGGCAAGTCCCTAGAACCGGTAGTTATAGCCCCTTAAAAGTTGGAACTAACACGCTCTTTGCAGGATTTCCTATTCCAGCAAACGATGTACCGCATCAAGGATCCGCGCCGGTCGCTGCCCTTTTACACGGGGGTCCTAGGAATGACCTTGCTGGTGAAACTGGACTTCCCGGAGGCCAAGTTCTCCTTGTACTTCATGGGGTAAGGTTAAGTGGCTGCGGCTTATCTAAGTACGTGCCTATTGACCGGCGATAACATTTGCGTTTCTATCTTTCCGCAGCTACGAGAACGCCGCCGATGTGCCCAAGGATCCCAAGGAGCGACGCAGCTGGGCGATGAGCCGCAAGGCTACGGTTGAACTGACTCAGTAAGTGCATAGTTCCGATTTTAATATTCTCCACCAGGCTTCCGTTACGTGCAAGTGGTTTCCAATCACAACTATTATATGTACATACATATAAAACTTAATCAAATACAAATTGGCATGTATCTAATACATTCACTTAATATTTCGTATTTTTATCTTAGCAACTGGGGAACTGAAAGCGATCCAGATCAAAGCTACCACACCGGCAACAACGACCCTCGTGGCTTCGGACACATTGGACTCATGGTTCCCGATGTCTATGCCGCCTGTCAGCGGTAAGAAATGTGTCCTAGTAATTGTATTCTTTAATCAATCGACCCACTCCCATCCTACAGTTTCCAAGAGCTTGGCGTCGAGTTTGTTAAGAAGCCCGATGATGGTCGCATGAAGGGTTTGGCCTTCATTAAGGATCCCGACGGTTACTGGATTGAGATCTTTAACGCCCACTCTGTGTAGACCCATGCTCGCTGACAGTTGTTTTTTTTTATTATTTTTTATTCCACATGTATCTGTCACCGTTCCTTAATTGCCTAAGACACGTCTGAGCTGTAGAGTGGAATCTCCAAAGGAGTCTTTATAATAAACAAGAAACAGAATGTCCAACAATGGCGGTGTTCTTATTCTCACATATAGACATGCCGCAGCTGCTGCTACAGCTGTCAACTCTGTCCCCAAAATAATTGGCTCCTGTGTCCTTACCGGGTTGGTATTTTCACACGCTAATTATTATTTACATCGCGGACAGCCAGGCACGTTTTTGATAAGTAAATGTGTTACTCACTCGGACCGGAAGTGGGGTGTTTGCCCAGACGGTCTGCGAATGTTCCGTCGACACTGGGACGGGTGGGTCCTGGGTGGTGGTGACTAGCCACTAATAATAGTCAAATATGGGAGCGTATTATTTGTTTGGTATCGAATACGGAATTTTGCAATTTAAGTTCGTGCATGCGGCCACTCGAGAACAGTTCCTGCCAGAAGTTTGTCCTGTTAACGCCAAGATGGAAATTTCGGAGCCCAGCATCGGCATTTTCTACATTAGCAAAGTGCTGGCTCTGGCCCCGTATGTCGCCAGTCGGAACTCTAAGAGCCAGGTGGAAATCCGCCGCAGCTGGGTGTTCACCATCTACTCAGCCACCTTGACAGTGGTAATGGGTAAGTGTTAAGTGCTGATGTTGAAGTGGGGAATCCTCTGCCGGAATGATAGCTCTTCAATTGCTTCTAGTTTGCCTCACCTATCGGGGGCTGCTGTTCGATGCAAATTCGGAAATACCCGTCCGGTAAGTACTCTGCCTTCCTTTTTTTTATTATATTAATTAATTCTAAATATCTGTGTCGTCCTTTTTACTAATCTGTTAGTCGTGTTTGTCCCACCTGCAAAGGATATCAAAACAATAGCACTTTTGATTAAACTTATCTTTCTAGCTAAGCTCCTACTGTGTCACTGCATACCAGCCTTACCTTTACTATTTCAATGACTTGGTTTTGTTCACTAAACACTCTTTTCTGAGTTTGTTTGCGAATGTTTAAGAAGATATATAAATATTTTTGATTATATCATATTTTGGTTACAAAATTCGGAATTGAGAATTCTCAAGTCTGAATTTTTGGGAAGTAGCGAAGTTTACTAAAGTGTTTTCTTGATGGAAGCAAAAACAAACTGTATAGACAATCTACTGCGTTTGTATTCTGACAAAAACAGTCTTTGTACAATATAGCATACATACATTTATCCAAGTCTCGAATTTAACAATCAAGTTTCTGAAAGCTAACCAAAGCCAGCTTATTTTCGTATTACTCTTTGAATACCTATCTTGACCGGTTAATCTAAAATCAACATTGACAGGCAATGCTATTGTTATGACACTACTGTATGTATACTTACCTATCTCAATCTTTTTCTATCTAATTATCACCTTTGCTCCCTTCCAAACACATTTGATCTTGCCCAATTAATTGCTCAAACCAACTGCAAAACAACCAACCAACAAATCAAAAGTGCATCTTTTAGAATGAAATCGGCTACGTCGAAGGTGGTAACGGCCCTGGACGTGTCTGTGGTGGTCATGGCCATAGTATCTGGTGTTTACTGTGGTCTCTTCAGCCTAAAGGACACGCTAGAGCTGAATGCACGTCTCACTAAGGTGATATCACAGTCCCAAACCTTGAAAGCCGTTGTCATTTGAGTTTAATATTTGTATCCTCAGATTGACAACACGTTGAATGCCTACAATAACTTCAGGAGGGATCGATTACGAGCCTTGGGAATGGCTACAGTCTCCCTGGTTGCCATAGCCTTGTTGGTCGGGCTGGATGTTGGAACCTGGATGCGGATTGCCCAGGATATGAATATTGCGCAGTCGGATACGGGTAATTATAATTACGTTTCACTTAATTATATCAAATTTCACTTTTTTTCTTGTTTTTCGGACAGAGCTCAATGTACATTGGTATATACCCTTTTATGGCCTTTACTTCATCCTTACTGGCCTGCAAATCAACTTTGCGAACACCGCCTATGGACTGGGTAGGCGTTTTGCCCGTTTGAACCTGATGCTTGACAGCAGCTTCCTTGGGGGTAAATGTATTCGAATAACTCTTAATATCCAAGCTTATTTTACAGTTTCCGCAGAGCACAAAGACTGCAGTTCGTCGAAGCCGCTTAAGGTAAACACCGTAAAGAGCATCAGCATGAAACCTCTGCCGATGCCTTCGGCGCTACATGCGAGTCTGACCAAGCTAAGCAGCGAGACCCTGCCTAGCGAATCAACAGGTGACAGTCGCAGTCTTATCCTGAACGTGGAGTTACTCAAACTGGTCCCTTTTCCAGCCAAGAACAAGGGACTCCTGCTCAAAGCCATGGCCGACAGCCACGAGTCGCTGGGCAAGTGTGTCCTGCTCCTTTCCAAGTAAGATGTGCAGCTTCGGTTGATAGACTTTGTTTGCTAATCTATCCGAATATGTATACAATTTTAGCTCCTTTGGCGTGGCGGTGCTTTTCATCCTGGTGTCTTGCCTGTTGCATCTGGTGGCCACCGCATATTTTCTCTTCCTAGAGTTGCTCAGTAAGCGGGATAACGGCTACTTGTGGGTGCAGATGCTCTGGATATGCTTTCACTTTCTCCGCCTGCTCATGGTGGTGGAGCCATGCCACCTGGCTGCACGTGAGTCACGCAAGACCATACAGATCGTGTGCGAGATTGAGAGGAAAGTGCATGAGCCGATACTGGCCGAGGCAGTTAAGAAGTTCTGGCAGCAGTTGTTAGTGGTAGATGCCGACTTCTCCGCCTGCGGCCTGTGTCGCGTGAATCGCACTATACTGACATCGGTAACATTACATAAGGACTATCTTTAGAATTAATTTTGAGCATTTCTTATTCTTTCAGTTCGCCTCGGCCATAGCCACCTATTTGGTCATACTTATTCAGTTTCAAAAGACCAACGGATGAGATAAGCAGGCAAATACCAGCTGATTATATAAAAAGTGGTTTCATTTATTAACACTATTCACTAAACGGAGCTTTTGGATATTAATGATCTGGTTAAGAGTTTTGTCTGTTCTGTCTACGTGCTTAAGTTTAAATTTAGCAAACAATAAAAAGCGAACCAGAACCATGAAAATTCACATAAACTTATATTCATTCTCCCTCCCAATTGCGCTTACACTTAGAGACGTTGCCCGTCAAGAAAGTTAGAAACCTTTCTGGTATTGCTTAGTTTCCATTCGCTGTTGCAACAACTCCAGTTGGCGCTTGGCCTCGCACTGCGGAAAGTTGTTCAGGTCGTAGTACTGCGGAGCTAAACTGAGCAACCATTCAGCTAAAGTGGGGAAGAACATGTATTTAAAGTTCAGTGTTTGGGTTGGTAAATAAATGAGTACTCACGCTTGACATCCGTCACGGTTCGAATGTAGTTCTTGGTCGTCAGGACAAACTCGTTGTAGATGACCCAGTCAGGCTTGTGGTCCAGACACGTAGACGGATGCAGCTGCACATTCTGGTTGTCCTTGATCGTCAGGTAGTGGCCGGTACGCTCCAGGTGGGCTACCTGCATGAAGAAGCCTTGGACGAGGGCCTTGCGTATATTCACATAGTAGTCCTTTGAGGTGAACTCAGTGCTGGTGCGCCGCAACTTAAATCTGTCCATGATTCTGGCCAGCTGCTGGCGGACATTGTCTGCGCTCTTCAGCGACCGAAAGTTGATGAAGTTCTCGTAGCACCAGTTGGGATCCTCGCTGCCTGTAATTTCAGGTGAAAATTATAAAATGATCTCCTTTTATTTTTATATTAATTTCTACTCACTCTGCTTGAAAGCGTGATAGACATTCAGCAAGGTCAAGTGATCCCCGTCAATGTGAGCGAACCGCATTTTGGCCTCATCGGCTGCCTTCTTGGCCTCGTTGGGACGCACGAAGCATTGTGGAACTTTGGCACGTTTGAATTGGTTTGGTTTTCGATTAAGCACAAGTTCAAAACATTTTTTTTACATAAACAATTAGATTGTGCTTACTTTTCGTCAGCTAGGCAATCTAGAGGCTTAATTCAAAGTTTGGTTGCATTTGTGAGTTGCAAGTGCGTTCCGATTGTCTTACAGAAATGTGTATTCATTCATACAGGGTTTGAAAAGACTGTGCCCACTCATCATTCCATTCGAATGATGACCGAAAGACTGATGGACATTTTGACGCATGTGCAACTTTGCTTTTCGAGTTAAATGCAAAGAACAAAGAAATTGAATAAACTTTTTCCTTTGCATTGGTTTTACCTAAGAAAATCTATCTGTACTACTTTTGTTCAATTTTCAATTTAATTGGATAACTAAATTCACGGCTGCTGCTTGTCAATTGTTATAGTTCAGTTTAAAAAAATTAATTAAATTAAAATTAAAATTAATTTTGATACAAATCAGTAGTGGCAAATAAGTTTATGGAACTGAAAGTTAGTTCAACAATGGATAGTCCTTGAGGATACCTTTGGCGAGGCAAATTTAATATAATTATAACAAAATTATATCAAATTGCTTTGAAAATGTGTTAAAACTTGAAATAAAGATTTTCGGAGTTAATTAACGAATATTAGGCGGAAATTGGCTATTATTTCGTTCATGATCATTTCGTTTTATCGTTATTTACCAAGGTAGATATACAACATCAAAAACTGGCACGTTTAGCCACAAAAAACTAAATTAAATGACTCGCGAGACTGATCTTTTTTCATTCATTCTTTCAACATATTGTGGGCGCAAGGAGCAGACGCGAATTACTAAAGTTTTCTGAAGTTCAAAGCTCAAAAAGTAACGAGTTAATTTGCTTGATTCTTGAAAGTTAAACACAAAGTTTTTATGTTATTGCTTTTTGTTTCTCACCCGACAGCATGGCCGTTATAGAAAGAATCTCGTTCGAGCAGTTGTGCTGGCAGCTGGCAATCAGCATTTTAGCCAACTGCGGATCCAATGGGAACTCGGACATAACGGCTCCAAGGTCCGTCAGATTGCCGTCATCATCGAGGGCAGCCAGATAGTTAAGTAACTCGAGGGCTCGCATCAGAGTCTCTGGAGCCGGAGGATCCATAAAGTCAAAATGCACCAGATCATCGATGCCTAGCTTCTTCAGTTGCAGGACCACAGTACCTGTTTGCAGCATATAAATGGAGGATTAGCTAGGTATGAAAATTCGATGTTAATAAGACATGTTACCCAAATTCGATCGCAGAATCTCGGGGTATGTGTTGTCCTGCATTTCGTTCTTGAAAGCCTTTTCTGTGTAAAGACGGAAGCACTTGCCCGGCCGCGTACGTCCGGCACGACCAGCCCGTTGCTGAGCCGAGGCCTTGGAGATGGGCGAGACGAGCAGACTCTCTACGCGAATGCGAGGATTGTACACCTTCTGCTTGGCAAAGCCCGGGTCAATCACGAACACCACGCCGTCGATGGTCAGCGAGGTCTCAGCTATGTTGGTGGACACCACCACTTTGCGTCCGATAGCTCCATTGGCATTCGGTGGAGGGGCCGCCTCGAAGATGCGCTGCTGCAGGTTCGGCGGCAGTGTGGAGTAGAGGGGGATGCACTTCAGCTCGCCTATCTCCGATCCGAGATTGTCAATTTCGCGCTTAATACGCTTGCAAGCCTCTTCAATTTCCTCCTGACCCGTAAGAAACATGAGAATGTCGCCTGGAATTCGGGAATTAGATAGGTTCAACTAATATATTTAGGCTCCCACTCACCCTCGATCTCCTCGCACATGTGGATCTGGATAACTGTGCGAATGGCAGCCTCTAGGTAATCCCTTTCGGGCTCCGGCGTGTAAAATATCTCTACGGGATGCGTGCGACCGGGCACGTTCATAAGCGGTGCGTTGTCGAAATACTGTTGAAACTTGCCCGCATCCAGGGTGGCGGACATCACCACCAACTTGAGGTCATTACGCTGGCGGATCACCTCCTTGAGCACGCCCATCAGAATGTCGGTGGCCAGGGTGCGCTCGTGAGCTTCGTCGAGCAAGATAACCTGGTATTGCTCCAGCATCGGATCGGACATAGCCTCGCGCAACAGCATACCGTCAGTCATATACTTCAGCAGCGTTTTGGCCGAAGAGCAGTCCTCAAAACGGATAGAGTAACCCACCTCCTCGCCCAGGTTCACATCCATCTCTTCAGAGACGCGCTGTGCCACGGACATGGCAGCCACTCGGCGGGGCTGTGTGCAGGACACGCCCTTACGGCCCTTTGACACTGCAAAGTCCACACACCATTGCGGGATCTGTGTCGTTTTGCCAGAGCCCGTCTCGCCCACCAGCACGATACACTGATGCTGGCTGAGCAGGCGCATGAAGTCCGCTTGGTACTCGAACACGGGCAGCGAGATGCGCTTCTTGTACAGGTTCTGGTACCGCTGCGAGTACGGCTTGTTGGTCAGCGGGTTCATCGTGGGCGGCTGTTTGTTTGGCACAAAGCCGCCAAGGATCTGCGCCACTGTGCCGGCCGCCGAAGCAGCTGCAGCCGCCGAGGATGATGGCTCCGACTCCCTGGGGGAAAAGTTCAAGTTAGAAACGCGCTGTTGGGTGCTGTTGCAGAACTCACTTCTTGGCCTTGCTGCCATAGGTCTCCCCCACTTCGATGCGGCGCTTAGACATGTTGTTCGTCTGGGGGTGGGCTTAAATCTCGAAACTAAGCGTTTTTGCACAAAGAAAACACGCGCTGAAAAAACAACGTGAAAATTATTAGAGATGGGCGCGTGTGCTTCGCGTCTGACAAGTTAAGCTATCGTTTCCGAATCATCGGTGGTGGGACTAAATAAATACCAAAAATGTATGCGATACATACATATTTTTGTGTTGTACACCGCTAAATTGTTGAAAATCGAGTTAAAAAATAATTTGCTTGGAACCAGAACATATATGTATGACAGAGATCCCAAAATACAGTTAATGAAATACCAAAACAGTTTGCTTTCAAATCACCATGGTGGTATTATTTCTGGTATATGATTTGGCGCTCTGCCTTTGGTCACATTGTCGTGTATCGATTCGGAGCTGAGGAATTTTTCCAAATAGTTTTTAAAGCGCAAAAATGATTAATTTTAATTTTAATTTAACTTAATGTTTTTAACTGTGTTGACTTGCACTTTAGTGTAAGATCGGAAGATACCATGGAGATACCTATACAGGTGGCGGTACGAATTTACCCGCACAGGGAGCTCAATGCGCTGGTCGCTCCCGTCGTCCACAAACAGGAGGAGGTGGTGGATAAGGAAGACGCGGAGCACCCCAAGGACACTGGGGAGAAGGCAGAGGTAGGTGCAGGCGACGAAAAGTCTTCCCAGATCGCAGACAAAAATGGAAACGCGGAGGTGGAAACTCAAAGCAAGCTTCAGCCACAGACAGACGCCAATGGCAATGACAATGGAAATGCCCCTGATCGCGAATCTGGATACTGCGTCCAGGCCATTCCCATCAGTGCCTCCGCCTTGGGGCTGCCTAGCGCTCTACCGGGCGGCGATCCCATGGACAACATTGCCGCCGGGCTCATCCAGGTGGGGCCCCACAATGTTCCCGTCACACACGCCTTGGCTAGCAACAGCACCCAAGAACAAGTGTACCACCAGACGGTCTTTCCGCTGATCGGGCTGTTCCTTGAAGGCTTCGACGCCTCAGTGGTCACATATGGCCAAAGCGGTCAGGGCAAAAGCTATACCTTGTACGGAAACTTAGAAGAAGGCTCCCAGTCAGAGGGAAACGCGGGAGTTGTGCAGCTTTGCGTTCGAGACATTTTTGCGCACATCTCGACGCACCCAGGTGGGACATGCAAGGCGATGTATGTAATTCCAATTATATGCTAATTTCTTCTCGTTTCAGAAAGGACCTACGCCATCAACGTTGGATTTGTTGAAATCTGTAATGGCGAAGTCTGCGACTTGCTTGGCATGGGAAACGTGCATTGCACAAACGGCAGTGCTGTCTTCCGCTGGCTGCAGGCGGGGCTTGCCGCCCGTCAGACGTTGCCAGCACACACGCTCTTCACCCTTACATTGGAGCAGCAGTGGGTGTCCAAGGAGGGGCTGCTCCAGCACCGTCTGTCCACGGCTAGCTTCTGTGATCTGTGCGGCACAGAACGCAGCGTCGAACCGCCCCCTGGACGTCCTCGAGATGAAGGCCTGCATATGCTGGAGCAGGTGGTGAGCACCCTCACCGATCCTGGACTGATGTACGGGGTTAATGGAAACATTCCGTATGGTCAGACAACGCTTACCACCCTTCTGAAAGACTCCTTCGGCGGACGGGCTCAGACCCTGGTGATTCTGTGCGTGTCCCCACTGGAGGAACACTTGGCAGAGACGCTGGGTAACCTGCAGTTCGCATTTAAGGTTCAGTGCGTGCGCAATTATGTGATCATGAATACCTACTCCGACGATAACACGCTAATTGTACGGCCGGCCGAGCCTCTGCCGGTATCCAATTCCGCAGCAGGACCATTAGCGCAGGCGGGGGCCGGCGACCACTTTGGCCTGCAGTTCGCTGCCAGCCAGTGGTCCAAGTTGGTGACCAACGCCGAGGGACTGTTTGCCAAGTAATTTAAGCTTGTATTGCTTACAAGAACTTTTTTTAATCTACAGCTATATTTTAGGTTAATGGACTCGAAGCTGATCAGCGATTTGGAAAAGGAGCAGATTGAAGAGTGGCTGTTCCTCAAGCAGGAGTGTGAAGAGTGCTTGAGCTCAACGGAGGCCATGCGCCAACAGAAGCAGCTGGTGCCCATCCAAGAGGCCGAGGAGCCGGAAGACGTTAACTCCGAGGCTGCTAACTCGGAGCCAGCTAACTCGGATAACGAAAACGACACTGACAATGAGTCGCAACGTCCTGATCTGGCCGACAAGCTGGAAGGTCTCATGGAGGAGTTTCGCATCAAGACAGACGCCCTCATTCTAGCCAGACATGCAGATTATTTGTCGAAGCACCCCAAGGCTGTTATGCACAGCCAAGACCACGACAATGACGCTCAGCAGCCGGCGGAGAAGGGAGAGGAGCGCAAGGCCAGCATTGGTGGTAAGTGATTAGCCCTTCTGAATATCTAAAACTTCAGCAATTTTTTTTACAAGGTCGCCGGAGGAGCATTCAGCCAGGCGTTAGCCTAAGTACGGCAGAGCTCGCTATGCTTAATCGCGTCGCCTCGCAGCAGCCGCCACCTACAAATGCCGAGAATATCGTCGATCCCCTGGAGAGCTCCTCAGGTGAGGGACTGCGTCAGGCCGCCCTGGCCGCCGCGGCCGCAAACGCTCCCATTGAGCAGCTGCAGAAAAAGCTACGCAAGCTGGCAGCCGAGATCGAGGGTCGGCAGCGGCAGCTTCGGGAGATTGAGCAAACGATTCAGGTGAAGCGGAATATTATCGCTGAACTGGTAAAGAACAGTGACACGCGCAGCCATGCCAAGCAGCGGTTTAACAAAAAGCGAGGCAAGCTGGAGGCCGAGTGTGACAAAGCTAAAAAGCAGCTAGGCAAGGCTCTAGTCCAGGGCCGGGAACAAGCGGATATTGAACGCTGGACCGCAATCATTGCGCACCTTGAGCGCCGGCTGGAGGACCTTAACTCCATTAAGCACATCGCCGGCGAAAGTGGCCAGAAGGTTAAGAAGCTGCAGCAATCGGTCGCTGAGTCACGCAAGCAGGCTGACGACCTGGAGAAAAAACTGCGCAAGGAGGGCAAGTTGCGGGATCAGCTAGAGTTGGAACTGGCCAAATTGCGGGAATCTCGGGATGCCGGAAAAGCGCTAGTCAAGCCTCAGCCGGACTGCCCCGAGCAGCAAGGTCGACAGCTGAAGGCAGTGCAGGCTCGGATAACGCACCTGAATCACATTCTGCGCGAGAAATCAGACAACCTCGAGGAGCAACCAGGGCTTGTGCAGCAGGAAAGCCTCCGACACGAGATCCGCAACCTGCGCAGCACTCGGGACTTGTTGCTGGAGGAGCGCTGCCACCTTGATAGTAAGCTTAAGCGCGACAAGGTGCTCACCCAGAAGGAGGAGCGCAAACTGCTCGAGTGCGACGAGGCCATTGAGGCAATTGATGCGGCTATTGAGTTCAAGAACGAGCTGATCACGGGACACCGCTCCATCGATACCAGTGATCGAATCCAGCGAGAGAAGGGTGAGCAGATGTTGATGGCTCGGCTGAATCGTCTCTCCCCAGATGAGATGCGAACCCTTCTGTACAAATACTTCACCAAGGTGATCGATCTGCGCGATTCGTCAAGAAAACTGGAACTGCAGCTGGTACAGCTGGAGCGGGAGCGTGATGCCTGGGAGTGGAAGGAACGTGTTTTGTCCAACGCCGTACGTCAGGCGCGACTTGAGGGCGAGCGGAATGCCGTTCTCCTGCAGAGGCAGCATGAGATGAAGCTTACCTTGATGCTTAGGCACATGGCCGAGGAGACGTCCGCCAGCTCGGCCAGCTATGGGGAGCGAGCATTAGCCCCGGCTAGGTCATCCACGCCAGGACAGGCAAGTAGCGATTTTGACTACGAGTTGGACTTCTACAAGGCAGCCGGCAACAATCCTGCCAAGGCGCTGGTCAAGGCCCCCAAGCCGTTGCCCACCGGTTCGGCGCTAGACAAGTTCAAGGATAAAGAACAGCGCAGTGGACGCAACATCTTTGCCAAGTTCCAGGTGCTCACCAGGTATGCCGCGGCTGCTGCAGCCGGTTCCTCCGGCTCTACGGCTGAAGAGTCTACGGCTTTGATTGAATCAAGCACCACGGCAACGGCCACAACCACAACCACAACGGCTACTACTACAGGGGCGGTGGGAAAGATCAAGGATAAGGCTTTAGTCAGCTTCAGGCCTGAGCAGTTAAAGCGCCTGATGCCGCCACCATCAGCCACAAAAGTGACGCGTCAGAAGAACAAGATCATTATCCAGGACGCGAGTCGCCGTAATTAAATACGAATTTAATCATTTCCAGGAAGAAGCAATAGGATTATGCATTTTTTGAGCCCTAGCCACCAAAATAACACGCGATTTTTTTTAATATTTTCGTTTACTTATTATTTGTGTAAACTATAGTAATCATTAGGAACTTAATTTAATTCAAAAACTTATTTTTTGTTATATCCCAAATTGAAGTTTATCCATATAGTTTTCTTGCTCGTTATTTTAGTGGTTATGGCTCGGTATATTTCTGTTAGTGCGTGCTAAAAATACTCATAGATCGGACGTTAAGTCCAGACAAATCTTAACCCGGGCTGGGATTTCAGAAACAAGTTTCGTCCACAGTCATGACACAAATAGACTCGACACGGTTTTAACACAGACTCCTGATCTGTATAGCATTTATATTATTTACAAATCTTTATACAAACATGAAGTAACTAACTATCCGTATTGAAGTGTTAAGACTTGACCTGCTACTTAAGATACTCGCAAGATAAGCCATTTAGAACAGTCAGTAGAAAGCAATTATTGGATTAGAATCTCTTAAATGTACATAAGCGAAAGGCGTTAGTTTATCACTTAATTTTAAATATTTTCGTTAGGTTTTAGGTTAAGTTGTAAACACTTTTGTGTCTTCCCTCGAATTTGACTTGACTCTTGTTGCTACTCAAAATACTTGTACTCGTGAACTCAACCCAATGCATTTAATTAAATATTATACTCGTGCTCAGCGGTAATACTCATAATTCACCTAAATTATCCGCAGTTGAACTCTTTTTGGTTGTGCTTAAAATTTGTTTACTATCAGCTACCATACAACTATAAAAGATAGCCGTATATAACATAAACCCTTGGGAAATGTTTTTAATCAAATGCAAACCCAGGGTTTTAACCCAAACGATTGGCGACATAGCTTTTAAGCGGAAGGTGTTGAACGAAGAATTCAAAATAAATGAACGTAATTAATCCCTACATAAAAAGCTTTTTTATTGTACCTTAAGGGTGGCACCGGAGGGCTCAACTAAAAATATTTGGAACGCTTTTAAATTTATCTTTTAATCGGACTTTGTATCGCCATAACCATATTGGGCGGCCGTCTACGATATCACTATACATATGTCCCAAGAGTGTACGCAGGTCGACTCTTACATATGTATTTCTTTATTATGTGCATACATACATCAATATGTACATTGTATGAACATTTTCAGGATAGCCATTATAAAAGGCAAACTTTGGAGGACGTGTTCAAAACAACTTATTATTATTTATTGAAATTAAACAAAAAAATAATCAAAACATAATATTGGCGTTTTCTATTTATTTTCTTGTGATATATTTCACAGGTTTTTCCATTATTTTATTTCTAAATTTTAATTAAATATTAAGGCCATATTAGCTTGGATCCTCAAGGTACAAGGTACGTTAAAATAATTGTGTCATATTGACCTATCCTACCTACCTCCCATCCATGGAAAAATATATTTATACTATGAAATTAAGAGGATTGTTTTAATGTTTTTTTATGATATGAAGATCAAAAATAATATTGACGACGATATGTTGATCTGTTGATATGGGGAATATTTACCTAAATTACTTTTACATATCGGAGGCTCTAAGTACTATTACTGTTGTCACCCATAAAGAATTAACTTGAAGGTAATTTTCCTTTTCGCTGGTATATGTATGTACATATATACTTAATCAAAATATGACAAAAAATAATTAAATGATATACCCTTGCAGTTAAAGCAGTAACAATAAGTTAATATACGTACATATGTATAAGAATTGAAAGAAAAAATCAATGGTTCGTTTTCAGCACCGAATGTTTGTATTTCGTAATTATAGAAGAACAAACTGGTTATATCGAAGAATAACGTGATATATTTTTTTAAAATCGAGATGATTTGTAAACAAAAAATATTATTATTATTACCATCTTTTCGAAATTGTACCTTCAAGACTTTGTGGATTCCATTTAGAACCGGTTCTAAAAGGTCATATTGTACATAAAATAGGATAGTATTTTGATTTCGTTATTAATGAAGTGTTTTTTTTTTTTTGTACATTAAATTCTACTTTTTAAATTAACTTGTAAAAAATGGTAATTTAGTTCTTAAGCAAATGACATTTGAAATAGCATCAACAAGTGCAAAATATACAAGCAAATAAAATTTCCCAAACAATCGCCCCTTCGTCAAGCATGGATTCAGAGAGAGAGCGAGAGCCGGCAGCAAAATGGCCGGCTGACGGATGTTGGCAGAGCGGTGTTTCTCATTCGTGTTTAGTCTTGTTTGGACCGTCAAGCGATCAGGAACCGGATCCGCGTCAGTCGTCGAATTGCGAGAGCGTGCGTGTGTATGCGTGTGAGCGTTGTTTGGGACACGGATACGGATATACGGCAGCGGTACGCGACCAACACCCCCACAACCCGCCCCACCAACCGGTCGTGGTGGCTCGCTGTGCGTTCGAGTGAAATAAAATAAATTATAGTATGCAAGGCATCCGATAAACGGCGAAGAGCAGAGCAAAAGTGTCTGTGTTTGTGCGTGCGGTGCTTTTGTGCGGAGTCGCCACCCCTGTGGATTAGTGGCACCCTGCTGCAAATTGCCCACCACTCTCACTGTGTGTGTGTTAGTGTCGAAAAACAACAAATAACTTAAAATTAACCATCGAATTTGACCATTAACAAAGCGCCAACGGTAAGAAATGTTGCTAAATTCCGCCTGTCAGCTTCCGAAATATTTGTCTTTTTCGCCGTTGTCTGGCAACTTCTTTGTGACAGTCGCGTGTATGTATAGGCTGGGTTTGCTTGTATGCGTTCGTCCTGCCCACGCCCACTCTGCCGGACAAGGCAGATCCTTGCAAAATCATGATAGTTAGCAAGTATCATTGATATAGTTTCGAAACCTCCTGATTTTAGTTTCGAAATTTCCTGATTTCAGCACAGCTTCCTATTGATTTTTCGCCCGAGTTAAGTTAAGTGCGAAAATTGTTACTTTCCGTGCTGCCATCACACACACATGCGAAAGGGCGTGAAAATTTACAAAGATTGGGGGAAGGAAAACCCAGTTTAGGGACCCAGGGAAATGCTGAAATCGTAAATTTCAAATATATAGTTTAATATAAAGGCTGACTCCGGGCAGTTTGACTTCGTTTTCATTTAAAAATTTTCTTTTAGTTGAAAAACCATTTCAGTCCGTGAATTTTTCAGCAATTTTTTTTCGGCGCATGCGCTCTTTGCAGCGCCTGAAAGCAACTCTGCGATTACCGTTGTATTCGTTGGCCAGCATGTGTGTGTGCGTGTAAGTGTGCAACCTGTGCCTCCTGCGGCCTGCTGCTTGGTCCTTGGTCCTTTGTTTCCATCAGGTAGTTTTCCCAACTCGGGGCACTTTATTTTCAAGCATCTTTTAAAATCCCTCGCAGTTTCCATGTGGCACACATACGCAGAGTCCCTTTGTGAGGACACTGTGAGTGTATGTATGTGTCGGTTCAACCCCTGCTTAAGGACACAGGCATCTCTGAAATCCCATGCAGCTGCCATCGTCATCTTGCCGCTGGTGCGCTTGAGTTTCCTCTATTTGATTTCGCAAGTGTAGCGCTCCTTCTCTGGGAGTTTTCCGTTTTATTTTCCTGCCTACTTGCCTGGATTTTTTCATCCTGTTGCTAGGCGAAACTCTGCCACAAGTTGGGCTAGTTGCCAATCTTCCACGTGGTTAGTTGTCTGGTTACCAAAACTAATGCAACCTATTAAATACGGAAGGAAAAAATCAAAATTTTACTTAAAACTATGTCTTATAATTTCAGTATTTTTTTATTGTATCCCTGCAAATTATTATAGTTTTAATTCATAAATGTATATTTGAATATGAATATACATATTTAATAAGATATAGTTGATTAAACTATGACCGACAGTGACTCTGCTTTCATGGAGTTGAAGCAGGACCTACTCTTCCCAGAAGGCACTAAAATAATTCTATTTGTCATTGACTTTATTGGTTAATTAATTCCATTTAATTGTGACACATTATATTCTGTTTATAAACCTTGCAAAAACAGTAGTAGATTGCCTTGTGGTTCGCTCTCATCGATTTGAATGAACGCTCACTGAGCTGCTGTTCCGATAGCAAATATTGATTTCCACTTGGGCACAAACATGACAGCGGAAAAGGTTAAAGTGAACAAAGGCCTGGCCAAAGAGTGAAAGACCGAATAAATATTGCCTTTTGTTTTATTCTGCCGCCGCCGAGAGCTCTTGAATCTCAATTAGGGTCGCACTGCGGAAAAACTCTGGTCCCAAATGGATGGATCACCACTGGGCAATGCTGCAGTCCTCCTCCGCCGGCGACGACCCTGCACTGGGACACTGCACTCCAAACCCCATTGGCTCCGGCACCCTTTGCTAAATTTATTGGTTCGTCACCCCAATTTTTAGTTACACATCTAGCAGACAGACCGACAGACAGACATATCAACAAAAAAGAACAGAAAACGGCAGCATGAGTAATACAACAAAAGTTTTTGATTCGTTGATTTTACCACGCGATTGACCAAACGTTTCCGCTCATGGAGGGGTTGACTGGTTATATATATTATGGATACACATATATATAAATGTATCCAGCACATGCATATAGTATGTTGCTTATATAGACGGCTAAAGCCGTTGACTGATTACCAGATGTTTTCCAAATTGTTTCTTTTTGAGAATCGGCAGAATCATTTGTCTAGAAAAGGAACTTTTTCAACCGAAAACTACAGCGTAGATGTTTAAATGAATCATTCACTTCTAATTACTGTGCGTTTCAGTAATTTATTTAAACCTTATCATAGCTTTTTACTTAGATTTTGAATATCTTTCAAAATTGCATGATCATTGTTATATGATTTTATGTCATGGCTTAATATTTGTCTAAATTGACCAGAGATATCCTATTCCTTAAGCCAAATTGCTGTTTGGTTCTGTGGCTATAGAAATATATATTAAAGTAATTAAGTTGATTTTTAATTAAAAAAAAAATATATATGTATCAAAAATTGCTTCCTATATTTTCTATGACAACATTAAGATATAGACATTTAAAAGAGATTGAGAGGTCCTTAAATTTTAAAGTTCGAACTAATGAATTAGTTAAGCTTGATGGAGAGTATAGAATATTCTTAAAAGTTAGAGTTCTAAGAGTTGTACTATAAGACATTACTGTTATACATTTACATATATAAAATATAAAATAAAAGAGAGAAATGAAAAGCGATTCAGCTATAGTAAATACTTATCATATGCGCTATATCCAAGCCCTTTTTAAAGGATTTGGCCACCCCAAAGACTACGGTGCAGCTGTTTGTCTCGAAAGTAATGAACTCGGAGCTAACCCTCGCTGCGAATGACGGGTAGGCCATTAGGCCAATTGAAAAGCTAACATAAGCTGAGCTGACCCTCCACCAACCACCTCTACGAGAGGGACACGTGCGGGGATACGGTTGCTCTACGCCTGCGCAACCCTCAGAGTAAACTAGACATAATGTTGTAGATAAGGCTTTAGCCTGATCAAACTTCAATTCAATGTGGAATAAAAAAATTAAATTCATTCTTCTTCAACAATTTGTGGCATGCGCAAATGCTGGAATCCACTTTAAGCGTTAATTAAGCGCTAAAAAGCCAAGCAATTTGCTGTTGAATCTATTTCTATATGTTTATGCATGTGTGTATTGAACAATCTGGGGCTATCTCATGGATTAAAATAAGTCGCTGGCCATGCGGAGACGCTGGGTCTCGGGGGCCGATGTCAAGCTACAAACATCGAGGGGATCGGGGCGAATAGACAGAAATGGGGAATCGTGACTTCCTGCCTGTCATAAAGTCTATGTGTCTTTTCGCCTCCAAACTCGGCTGGCGGTGGGGCAGGAGGGCGCGTGACATTTTATGGATAGCAGAAGGCAGAAAATGAAGTTGTCGGATCGGTTGCTCCTCACTCCTCCCCCAACATATTGGCCATTTGTGGTTTAATTAATGACATCCATCCGCAGTCTGCTCCTTCAACGATTCCCACTTCCTACTTTCATGCTTCTCTTTTTTTCATTCCGTTTTCTAATCGCTTTGCCTATAGGAAAATGGTTCTTTGATAGTTTTCACAATATGAAATGGTTTGAGGGAATAAAAAATGGTAAAGGTAAACGAAGAATTATACATCCTCTTGAAATTTATAGTGTTGGCTAATTAAGTCATTTGGATAATGTGTGTTCATACCAATATAACCTTTAGGCAGACAATAAAATAATGAAAAATAAACTTTAATTTCGTTTCAGTTAATTCGCGTGTGTTTAAACAGGAACCAAGGGTGTCTTTCCGTGGACTTTTGCATAAAATCGATAAGCCCAACCCTCCCTTGCCAACTTCAGACAACCCGCGGAAAAGCGGAAACCAGGCATACGATATGAATATGCCCAACGGACGCCCCAAGTGGCTAATGCTGTACGCAGCTGTTGCCCTCATTGGTGAGTAATTGCATTTGTTTCGTTTTGGCCTTTTAATATTTTGCTTAGAATACATTTCAAACCGGTGAAATCAGCGGAATCCGGAAGCTATAGATATTTCGATTTGTGAGATTTTACAGCGGGATTATAAAGTCTCTTCGAAAACAAAGATTGTAAAATGCTATCATACTATACGTTTCTAAAATCTTACAGGTTTCTTAAGATTTTATGACGATTCAAAAGAAGATGTTAGGGTTTTAATACCTGCTACCCAAAGGATACCTTTATATCAATTTCAAATCTGTGAACTCAACACAAATATGGTCATAATCTTAAATTTAGTAAAACATTGAACGAAAGTACTCTTAAGAATATATATTAAAATCGGATGATAAACATTAGACAATATTGACAATACTTATAATTTTGTTTGCACTTTTAATGATATTATGCAGTTAGTAGCCGCAGATCGAGATGGCTTCAAGCTGTGAGATATAAAATGAACCAATTCTTCTTGTTTTATTTTATATATTAATTGTATAACTCTTTTTATTATAGTCTATCGAAGTAATCAATGTGGAGTTAATGAAATGCACATTCTTATATATAGGTTCTCACATTGGAGCACACACTCTTCTGTAGCTTTCTTTCTAGCCTTTCCTTATTTTGATATATATTATGGTAATCATTTCGTGGTTCTTTACAGAACCCTTACTTTAACTTGTTACAGTTTCATTTTCATTTTTATTTTACGATTCTTATCTTCTGTTGACACATTCTTCCGTTCGTCATTTTTACCCATTTTTCTCGTTGTAGCTGCTGCAGTGGACTTACCGAGCATTTCTATGAATTTTTAATTGCTTTTGCGTTACATTTACATTGGCTTTTGCTTTCGGTTTCATTGCGCTTGAGGTTTGTTTGCAGTTTTATATTTACCCGACTCTGCGACTGTGTAGATACATTTGTATCTTTGTGAGTGCGGGTCGTGCGGGGGACGAGATAGTCTGGCGGTTCATTGCCTCGATGTGTCAGGGGAACAGTATCGGGGAATTGTGGGGGAAATACAGAAGTCTGTGCACCGTCAGTGGGTCAGATTGTGGAATTAGTCAGACCCAGAGAGCCCTAGATGAGCTTTTTTCTTATCCGCAAATGTAATAATTTCTATATTGAATGATTTTATGAAGGCATTTATGACTAATTGGTATATACATATATGATATATTGCTATTTTTCAAGTGCTAAAAAAAGACGAAATATATACTAATACCAATATTCCAAAGCATACGTCCATAATAAAGCTCAAGATACCTTCCAATATAGGTTTACCTTACCTCCAGATAGCCTTAATTAAGAAGGCCAATCGTTTGACCCGTCGATCATCATATATAGATTTTGTTTTTGCTAAAAATGTATATTACGTTTCTTCCATTTAAGTTATCAGTCTGACCAATTAAGGTGCTTGCCTTTCTAGGAGGTTTTTAAAAATGTAACTGGTGTGTCCATAACCGAAATTTAAATTCCACAATAAAATTTATTTAGATTTCAATAAAAGCCGCATAAAAGAAACCTTAAAAGTGGAAATTTAATTGTCTACATGAGCCAAATAAAAAACTTAAATGATAACATTTCTCGTAGCGTGATGATCAGATCAGAAAAAATGAAACACGAGTAAAAATAACACTGTCTTAATGGGAATTGAGTGATGTCGGGGCTTGGTTGGAATTCCAAATAAGCAAATGGAATTGAATTGAAAAAGTTAACAAATCGCAAAACAGATATCAAATATTCTTGTAATGTGCTAAAAGATCGGAATACAAGATTTCATAAAATACATTATGCTGAAGCTAAAGCCGCCAGAACAAATATTTGCGAGAGACCTTCAAAGATTCAGGCTTTCGGTGACGTCTTGCGTTGATTGTGCGGGTCATCATTCAATTGAAATTGATTAAAAACATTTCTGCGCCATTTATTTTACTTTTACTGTGGGTTTCTTTTATTCCGCTTATTATTTGGGAAACATGTTTTAGTATTTAGAGCCAGGCTTGAGACTTAAGATTTATTACCCAAGCCTCCGGCTATGGGGAAGTCCGAGTGTAATGCCAATGTTGCTGTTCCTGTCTCCGCTGCAGTCGGACGCATTTAATTTGCCATTTCATTCGATTCAATTGAAATTCAGCTCGCACAGAGGGAACACTGTAATGGAGCTTAAAGTTCACAAGTGGCCACAGCTGGGCACACAGCAGCAGTGCAGCGAACACAAAAAGAAAAACAAAAATTGGAAAGGCGTGTAACATAAAAACAAATAAACAGGAAGCAAGCAATTTAGGTATGTGCGAATCAAATGACAGACGTAGATAAAATTATGGAACGGCCTTTGCTCTTTGCTGCTCTCTCAATGACCCCTTTGTTGTCTTCTCTGTGAGCAAATTTTAATTTTATATAAAATATTTATATGAACCATATATGTTTGTACAAATTTTTATGTACATTTGTGTATATAACAACACGCAAATGTCACGTCTTATCTTTATAAAAATAAAACTGGGTGAGGGATAATCATTATTCACGTCCAAATTAGAACTCAATGAAATAAAAAAAGTTAACAATTGTTCATCTACATATATGTATATGTACTTGTTTTTTGTCTGAATTTTTAAGTCTGTTTTATTTAGTCCATATAAATCGATATAAGTTCAGTTTTTTTTAATACGTTTCTGAATTATGATATATTTTTGCAATTAATTGAATTTAAAACAGTGGTCCATAGAGCACAGCTCTAAGTCTCAGTCAGAAAATTTCTCTGCCGGGCCTCCAACAGAAAAGAATAATCAGTTCTTTTACAAAGTAATTTAAAGTTAAATTTTGCATTATAATGTAATTTCATATTACAGAAAATGTTAAATATTTCTAACTCTTTAACTATATCTATTAGATATCTATATATCTATATCTATTGTGAATTTCTAGCACACTCTTTGATAGCGCTGACTGTTCTTATCTCACCTTCCTTGGGTGTATTTTTTCTATGTTACAGTTTTTATTCATTTATTCCTTACTAATTAGTACCACAATTCTCCTATAAAATATATTATTAAATTTATAAATTATATTTAAATTGCCTGAATAATAGCTAACTCTGAGCTGGGGAAAGTCTTCCCAAGCACATTCAATGCCTTATTTTTTTGTGCATTCAAATGTATGCCTGCATAGCGGTTAAAGAACTAGAACCACTTATCAACTGGGTCACAACTTATGTATATATTCCTATCGCCAAGATCTCTCCTTAAGAAAATTTCGTAAGAGATTAGAAGCACTGCACTGCCACTCAAGGCACTCGTAAATATGACAGAGATCATCCGAGAGATCACTGAACCATTCCATACCCTGGGCGAGGAGAAACTATTTCCGTTTCCACACAAAGCCAAATGGTAAAGAATGGAAGAAAGGAGCCGAAATGGGAGGCTGGAGCTTTCAGAAGATGGAAGAAGGCCGTGCCTGTAATTACAAATGATTGATGTGCCCCTCCTGACACTTTCTGCGCCCTCTTCGGAGCATGTGTGTTATGATACCTCGACGATTGAGGCAGATCACACGCGGCGTTTGTTTAAGAAACATTCTGTACCTGCACCTAGAAAAATACCTTATACTTTTTAAATCAATTTGATATTGATTGATTGCAATTTGTGTATTTTATATTATATTCTAGGGAGAATTCTAACCATGTACATTTAATAAGTATTGTTGTTGTTTGCTATACATAAATTAAATATATTATATATGTATATGGTAACTTTAAACTTTGTATTATTGTTGAAATCGTTTCTTTCTGTGTGAAGCCATCTCATTTTCCCGTTTTTCCGGGCCAAAGGAAGAGCTGCAACTGTTGGCGGTTCAATAGAATTTTGCCCCAACTTAATGGTCCCTCTTGCCTGACTTATTATTAGTTGCATTGCAGCAGCCACAGGAATGCGGCTTCCATTGGGGATGTGGAGAAAGCCGAGGAGATAGCGGGAAAGCGGGGTCTAGTATATCATGCGCCAGTGACGTCATCATGCAGTAGCAGTTTTGCTGTTTTATGAGCCGTTTCAGCCTATATTTTACCAATTTTCCACAGTTCAAAAGCTGTTTGTGAACTCTAAAGACAAACGGAGAATGTAGATAGTCGGCAACTCCGCTGCTAGTTTTCTATAATTCAGCATTTAATTGCCTTATAATAAGTCTGAATAAATCTAGTTGAATGCATTTCTAAAGAATTTTCTGTTCCCTTTCTAAAAATCTTAACAAATCCACCCGAAAGACATGACAGCTCAGGGCATCAAAGCATTTGTTGGGCCATTAAGAGCATTTGTCATATATTCCAGCTCATTAAGAGCTTCTAGATTTTGGAAAATTTTTCGATACAATACATATATAGAAGGTATTAACTTTACTCGAAATATTTTATGGACTGCAGCAAGTCGGGGAATTTATGGGCTCCGCCAGAATGTTTTTCCAGATTCCCCAAAAACTTAAGTGGGTGTGTGGAGTGAATATATGTTGTGGGACTCTTGAAACTCCAGCTATAAAGTTGCCCTTTTCAACCCCTCTATTAACTGAGTTCTTCGCTCTCTTGACACCCTCCGTTCAGAGTGGAAAGTTGTGAAAAATGAGAAACGTTTTGTTTAGTTTGCCTGCAAAAGGTTTGCTCCAAATGTTGAGGTTTACGCACTTCTGATTTGGCCGGGAAGAGCGAAAAAAGTGCCACCCTCCCGGCGAACAGCTGTAATAACCAAGAGTACATTTGCTGGCACGCATCTCCTCTCCGGCAAACATTATCCCTCCCTCTGAAAAAATGATTATACTTATTTATGTCTCGCTGTGCCTGACAAGCTGATTCGGAGCGAAGCGCCGTTGCCGCACTTCACTCGGGGATGACGGGGAAGGCCCCTTTTCACCGCCCTCCGTACGAATTAGGTGGCCACGGAAGGGTGTTAGTGGGAGTGCGCACTGGTTGCCATTTTCTGGTGTCCATCCGACGTGTC